AGTCTCTCAAAATCAGATGGGATTCATCTGTCTAGGAAGAAAAAGAGGACTGTAGCCCATAAATTAGCGAGGCTGATCAGGAGGGCTTTAAACTAGGCTTGAAGGGGGAAGGGGTCGAAACCGGGCTCTCCAGTGATCAACCTAGGGATGGAAAGCCTGAGTTAAGAATTAAATCAACAGCCCACCTGAAGTGCATGTACACTAATGCACACAGTATGGGCAACAAACAAGAGGAGCTGGAAGCCACTGTGCAGCAGGAAGGCCATGATGTAGTCGCCATCACAGAAACGTGCTGGGATGACTCGCATGACTGGAGTGCTGCTATGGAAGGCTACAAGTTCTTCAGAAAGAACAGGCAGGGTAGGAGAGGTGGAGGGGTGGCTTTATATGTTAGGGAGTCTCTTGACTCTGTTGAAATTCAGGTCAGCAACGATAAGGTTGAGTGCCTGTGGGTCAGAATCAGGGGGAAGACCAACAAGGCTGACATCATCAGAGGTGTCTGTTACAGACCACCCTACCAGGATGATGAAGGAGATGAATTATTCTATAAGCAGCTGGCAGATGTCTCAAAATCAGCCCTTGTCCTTGTGGGTGACTTTAACCTGCCAGATATCTGCTGGGAGCTCAATACTGCAGAGAAGAGGCAGTCTAAGAGGTTCCTGGAGTGTATAGAGGACAATTTCCTTCATCAGCTGGTAAATGAACCTACCAGGGGTAAGGCCCCACTGGACCTGCTGTTTACAAACAGAGAGGGGCTGGTGGGAGACGTAGTGGTTGAAGGCCGCCTGGGAAATAGTGACCACGAAATAATAGAATTTTCAATACTTGGAGATTCCAGGCGAGCCAACAATAAAACCTCTACGCTGGACTTCCGGAGGGCAGATTTTGACCTATTCAGAAGTCTAGTTCAGAGCATACCCTGGGAAACAACCCTTAAAAACAAGGGGGTTCAGGAGGGATGGATGTGCTTCAAGCAGGAAGTTTTGAGAGCACAGGAGGAGGCTGTATCGGTGTGCCGAAAGGCAAGCCAGCGGGAAAGACAACCAGCTTGGTTAAACAGGGGGATTCTGAAGGAAATCAGGGATAAAAAGAGAGTTTACCAGCTATGGAAGAAAGGGCTGACTACTTATGAAGAATTCAGGAAGACAGCTAGATCATGCAGACAGAAAATCAGGGATGCAAAAGCGCAATTTGAAGTTAAATTGGCCACTTCTGTTAAGGATAA